CAGCGCTGGCCTGGATGCCAGGGGGCGCGTGCCGGGGGCTCTTGACCGAGCTGCCTGGAGTCGGAGCGTGAATTCCCAGCCTGGGGTCCCCTTGCCAAGTCCCAGGAGGGCCCTACCTGAGCAGCTGTCCTTGGGGGCTCCTGGCCATGCCTCCCAGCAGCAATTCCTCCTGCCAATGCATGAACTTGTGGGAGAAACCGTGGCAGCCCCCGCTCAGTTCCTGAGCCACACGGGGAGCCTGGAGGGGGCAGAGGAGGGTCATCACTCAGGGCTCTGGCTGAGGGGAACCGTGTCCCTGGGCTGGTCCCTTCAGGAACCACGGAGCTCTGTAGGCCTGAAGGGCAGAAAACTTCTCCTGAGCTTCTTGCCTGCGCTTCAGTGACCTGCAGAGACGAGGTGAGGCCACAGGGCGGAGCAGGGGCCTGGGCTAGGCTGCTGGGAGGAGCTGGCGCAATTGGGTGCGTTTTGGGGAAAGGCCCATGTTCACAGGGACACTCGGGAAACTAGGTATGACATTGTACTTAGCGACTTTTTCTCAGTTTCCCTGTACAAGTCTATTTTGACAAAGTCCGGCCTTTCTGGCTTAGAAAAGGTCACAGGAATTCTTGTGCCACGGGCGGGTTCCCTGGGAGAACGGATTGAGAACGGAACACTAGGTGTCTAGCACAGTGGGGACAGGGTAACAGTATCCGGGAAACGGGGGGCAGAGCTCAGATGCTCCCTCCCATCCCAGGAAGAGAGGAGGGAAAAGCCAGGAAGACAGCCTTTCCCTGGCAGGCCTGCTGGAACCCACCTGCCTGCTGTGGTGGTTGGGAGCGCTAGGCGGGCAGTGAGGGTCGTCAGGGTTCAGACAGGGCCGCCCCACGTAGGCCTGGCCCACCTGTGCCTTGGCGAGCAGTTCCCGGAAGCCCTCAAGGGAGGCGAAGGGGCCCAGCTCCTCCAGCAGCTGCTCAGGATCCAGGTTGGTCCACTGGATGTCGGGACGGCCGCTGAGGGGAGAGCCCGTGGCTGGTGAGAATCAGGGACCGATTCCCACCCTCCAAACTGCTGCGAGGGGACCCGTGCTGTACCCCAGCTCCTCCGCATGGAGGGAATGCAGGCTCGGCTTCCCAGAGCCCCCAGGCTGCTGCAGTAGCTGGGGATGGAGGCAAGGGGCGAGGATGGACATCAGGACAGATGGGAAAGGCTCAGAAAAGCCGGGGGAGTCCCTTCCCACGCCGTCTACCCTCAGTTCTAGCACATAACCATATGGGCACTGCTCCTAACAGGTTTCCTTTCTGGCCTGGGCAACAGCGTAGCAGATACCCAGCTAACTCTCCTTGGCACAGTCTCTTCCTGGGGATCTTTCAAAAAAATCTTGGCTCAGGTCCTACAGACCTTCGTGTCTTGTCCCGTCTAGATAAGACAGGTCTGCCTTTCCTTTGGGGCGAGGAGATGGGGGATGCAGAGAGAGCAGGGCAGCCCTGCTCTGACCGTGGCCTGGGGGGTCACTGGGCCCTTGGTAAGGTTTTGATCGCCTTTACTCCCACCCCTCTTTTCTGCTGGAGACGTCCCTGCACCCACCCAAGACAAGGCAGGGCCCCGGGTGGAGGGAGGGAGAGGGGGAGGGGGGCACTCACGGCAAGTAGGCAGAGCCCCCTTGGAGCTTGGCTCCCTCCCAGAAGCAGTCGAGGGGAGTGAGGATCACACACGGGAACAGCTTCTCAATCATCTGCCAGAGACACCCCAGGCCCCATGAGTCCTGCCTCGGGGCTCCTTTCTCCATGACCTTTGTGTGGTCCCTCCACACACCCCACCTCCTGACTCGACTCGGCCTCTGGACTCAGCTCCTGGAGTCTCCCCTCCTTCAGGAAAGGCTCCACCTCCACCCACTGCGCACAGAACAGCCCAGGAAACTCACCCGCTCAATCATCCCATTTTCAATGAGGGGAACTCCTGACTTGTAGCAGATTTTGTTCAAGTCCCAGGACCTGCAGTAGCCGGGGGCACAGGCAGGAGGTCAGCAGAGGGGGATTCCCACTCCAGCCCTGCCCTCGCACGTCTCACCCACCCCCCGGCTGCTCAGGGACCAGCCAGACTCACTTTCCATAGAGTGATACTTGCACTTTGCTGGCCGTGAGGGCTGCCTGGAGGTGGAGGCGCAGTGCCTCAGGTGTGAGGACGTTCTCCCCCTCCTGGCGTGGGGTCTGTATCAACATCTGGGAGGTGTACGCAGCCTCCTCGCCCAGCTTCTCCTTGGTGTACTGCAGCTCCTGGCTCACCCGGCTGCCCACTGCCAGAGCGAGGGGGAGAGAGCAGGGGGGAGAGCGCAGGGGGTCAGACTCTGGGGGATGTGGGGCCCTAGCCCACGATGCCCCCCAGGACCAGTGGGAGAAGTGCTGCTGAGCCCTCCCCGCACCTTCTCCCCGATGGCCACCCTGACGTCCCGGCTCAGAACGGGAGCCCGCAGGAAAGCCAGAGCCTAGTGGTGTGGCCCTATGGGATTCTCGCGTGGTCTAAGAACTGACATGAACCAACTGGCTAGGTTTGGGGCAAAAAACTAAAACATGAGACATCAGTTTGAACTGGGCCAGAGCTGTGGTGATGGGGCACCGTGCTGAGGGAGCCCTCGCTCAGTTCCTCTCTGAGCTGGTGGGGAAGACGAGGTGACCAAAGGGGCCAATAGGGAGGGTGCCCTAAAGGAGCGGGGCTGGGCCAGCTCCTGGCGCCGGCTGCCCAGGCAGTGACTACAGCCACACCGTCCTGCCAAGAGGGCAGGGCAGGGAGCGCCTGGAAACAACGGGCCTGCCGGCCTGCCGTGGCACAGGCGAGGGGAGGATCGCAGGCTCAGAGTGTGACACCTTCACACACCGGGCCCCTCACACAGGAAGTCCCTGGACTCAGCTCATGACCCTGGCAGCGGTGACAGCAAAGCGGGCCAAGGGGAGGAAGGGGCTCCCGATCCCTTTCACCAGGCTCCCTGCCAGACAGCAGGGGTCCCAGGGCCAGGCCAGTCTCAGTGCCCCTCCCGCCCTGCGTTGTGCTGGCCACGGAGTCAGGCTCTGTCCCTGGGCTTGGGGCGGCGAGGAGCTGACTGGTTTGGAGGAGGGCGAGGGGCTTGGTGCCCTTGGTCTGGTCTTAGACCCAGTTCTGCCTCTACCTACCTGGGCCCACACGCACTGCCTCTCTGAGATGCCAGTCCCACTGGCATCATCATGCTCCCCAATCTCTTTTTCAAACCCACATAATCTTCTCACTCATGAGAGCCCCAAACCCTTGGTTCCCCCCAAAACAGATCTGCCTATATACTTACATCCCCCCACCCAAACCCCACTTCTGGCCCTCCCTCCATGAACCCAGTTTCACACAGCCACCCTGCCCCCTTCCACCTACTCTTTTTTTTTTTTTTTTGAGAGAGAGGAAGGAAGGGAAAGGGAGGGAGAAAGGGATGGGGGGTTGGGGAGAAAGAGAGAAAGAGACATCGATTGCTTACCTCCCATATGAGCCCAGACCAGGGATTAAACCTTCAACCTGTGTATGTGCCCTGACCAGGAATCGAACCTGCAGCCTTTTGGTGTATGGGATGATGCTCTAACCACTGAGAAACCTGGCCAGGACATCCACCTCCTCTTTTTCTCCCCCCTGACTCCCCACTCCTCTCCCAGGTCTGTATTATAGTGCTTATGTCACCAAGCTCAGGCCAGAGCTGCCACGAGGAAGGATGCGAGGGGAGCACAGGGATCAGCTCCCCAAAGTGAGTGGGTGTGCTGAGGGGAAGGAGGGAGGGCAGAAGGAAGGAACCCAGAGAGAACTAGTAAGAAAGCAGGAGAAAGAAACACTGACAGTTTCAAATACAACATCAAAGAGAATAAAGAATCCTGAGAAAAAACGAAGAGAGAAACGATAAACCTTGGCTGACAGTGACAGGATAGGTACGGGACAGATGACCTGGGATGTATTATACGAGCAAGAAGAGAGCGCGGGCGCAGGGGAGAGCACGCAGGCCCTGTGCAGACCCGGCTTTGAGCCTTGGCTCTGACACTCAGTCTGTGCTTGGGGCCAAGTACGTTCTTAGTCTCTGACCCTCGATTTCCTCATCTGTAGAACGGAGACAACGCCTACCTCGGTGGAATTACAATAAACGCAGGCACAGTCCTTACAAAATTGCTCAGCACGTAGTAGGCACAGATTACTCAATCGCTGCTGGGAGAGAAATGATGTGACAGAAAAATGAGAAAGAACTGGAGGAAAAAATGACTGTAAGTGAGCGGGGAGGAAATAGAATGGGAGGAGACATCAAAATCGACATTTGCACCCGAGCCAGTTTGGCTCAGTGACTGGAAGGGTCCCGTATTCGAATCCGATCGGGGCATGTTCCTCAGCTGCGATTTGATCCCCAGCCCTGGTCCGGGCTCTTGTGGAGGCAACCAATCGATGTGTCTCTCACATCAACGTTTCTCTCTGTCTCTCCCGCCCCCCCCCCCTTTTACTCTCTCTAGAAAACAATGAAAAAATATCCTTGAGTGAGAATTAATAGCAACAAAAATCGGTATTTGTTAAAACTTTCATGCCTACAAAAGGAAGAATATAACTAGTCAGCCAGCATGAGCATGGAAAAAGCCCACCTTATAGCTAATCCCATAATGCAAATTAAAAAGGGCAATAGCCCTAGCTGGTTTGGCTCAGTGGATAGAGCGTTGGCCTGGGGACTGAGGGGTCCCGGGTTTGGTTCCGGCCAAGGGCATGTGCCTTGGTTGTGGGCACATCCCCAGTAGGGGGTGAGCAGGAGGCAGCTGCTCGATGCTTCTCTCTCATGGATGTTTCTAACTCTCTATCCCTCTCCTTTCCTCTCTGTAAAAAAATCAATAAAATAAATCAATGATTCTCATCATTGATGTTTCAACCTCTCTCTCCCTCTCCCTTCCTCTCTGAAATCAATAAAAAAAAAAAAAAAAAAAAAAAAGAAAAGAAAAGAGCAATACTATCTATCAAATTAGCAAAAATAAAATGTTTATAGCACTCATTGCTGGCTTATAAGAGTGATAGGCCGTAACCGGTTTGGCTCAGTGGATAGAGCGTCGGCCTGCGGACTGAAAGGTCCCGGGTTCGATTCCGGTCAAGGGCATGTACCTTGGTTGCGGGCACATCTCCAGTAGGGAGTGTGCAGGAGGCAGCTGATCGATGTTTCTAACTCTCTCTCTCTCTCTCCCTTCCTCTCTGTAAAAAATCAATAAAAATATATTAAAAAATATATATTTAAAAGAGTGATAGAAACATCAACGATGAGAGAGAATCATTGCTCAGCTGCCTCCTGCACACCCCCCGCTGGGGATTAAGCTCGAAACCTGGGCATGTGCCTTGACAGGGAATCGGACTGTAGCCTCCTGGTTCATAGGTCGACGCTCAACCACTGAACCACGCTGGCTGGGCGATTTAAAAAAAAGGGTTAGATTGTTGAGGGCCTAGAAAGTGTGCTAAGAAGCTTGGCCTTGATTCTGGAGCCTCCCCGGCACCTATAGAAAGTGATGGAGAGACTTAACAGGGACGGACTAGGCAAGATTTGGATGCACCACAGGAGGGCAGTGTGGAGGCAGATTTGAAGGTGAGAGGGAAGGGATCAGTCCCTCGCTAACAGACCTTGCTTTCCTTGGCCATCCCCTGAAGGGCCTAATGATTCAGGGAAGCTGAGTCCCTTCCCAGCCTGGGGGTGGGGATGGGGGGGCGAGGGGATGGGGGAAGGGGGGAATCTGATTAGTCTATTTGAGTGGTCGGCAAACTGCGGCTCGGCAAACCGCGGCTCGAGAGCCACACGCGGCTCTTTGGCCCCTTGAGTGTGGCTCTTCCACAGAATACCACGTGCGGGCACTCATGTGCAGTGCGATTGAAACTTTGTGGCCCATGCGCAGAAGTCGGTATTTTGTGGAAGAGCCACACTCGAGGGGCCCAAGAACCGCATGTGGCTCGGGAGCCGTGGTTTGCCGACCATGGGTCTAAGAAGTCAATCACAGTAATTCCATGCCTTCCCCAGTGAAGAATTTAGGCACAGGGTACTGCCCATTCTTGCCAACGTGACCATATGGGAGGTGAGCTGGGAGGCTTCTGGTACTGAAGCAACCATGACAAGGAGGTGACAAGTCTGAGGACGAAAGCCCAACACGCTGAGGAAGGCAGAGGAGAAAGGTACTTGGCATTAGTCCTGAGTTTGCTGAATTAACCACCCTGGAACTCCTCTACTGTCTCCTGCCAGGTTTCCTGTTGCAGGAGATGACAACTCCATCTTCTCCCTTCCTCCCCCCGCTTTCCTTTCTCTTTCATGTGGCTAAAAGCATTCCAAACGATACAATCAGAAATGTCCTGCCGGAGAGCGAGAAAGGCCCATTGGGATATTTATAACATCAATCACAGTCCATACGAAATTATCAACTTAGAAGCAAGCCTGCTGTATTTGGTCAAACATTTAATTAACTCACCCCTAATGCCTTAGCAGGTCCAGACCAAATGATTTCTCGGGCCTTAAATGGGCCTGCGGGCTGGACGTTCCCCACCCCTGAGCTAGAGCAATGGCCACGAAGGTGAGAAGGAGGGTCTGTAATGAGAGAAGGTAAGAAGGAAGAATTTGCTGGTTTAGTAACCAA